ACCTTTAATCAAAGATGAGAACCTCTGAATCCTACAAAAAAATGACAATTGTATTTTTTTAAACAAGTTAAAAAAAATTAATTGTTGTTTCCCCTCTGATCCAGGACAAAGATCTTTAGATCCTACAAAAAAAGGTAAGTAAATTATTAGTTTTTTAATACTAATAAAAAAAAATTTAACTGATACTTTCATTCTTCTTCCATAGGAACTTACCTTCTATTTCAAGTTTTGAAAGTCTTCTGAATCCTACAAAAAGGTAAGTAGAAGTTAACTAACATTCTCTCTATATCCTTTATAGGTCTATAGGAGCTTACTTTCGATTAAAGACCTTTGACCTACAAAAAAAAGAGGAGTAATAGTTAAAAAACAATATTAATTGCTGTTTTCATCTCTCTATAGGAACTTACCTCCAATCTAGAATGAAAACCTCCAGATCCTACAAAAAAAAGAAGAGTAATTAGTTTTTTTTTTTAACAAATAACAAAAAATTAATTGTCATTTCTATTTTCTCTCCATAGGAATTTACCTCCGATTCAGAACGAAAACCTTTGAATTCTACAAAAAAAGGTAAGTTAATTATTATTTTTTTTTTAATACAAAAAAAAGATTTTGACTGACGCATCCATTCTCCTTCTATATAAACTTACTTTCCATTCTAAGTCTTAAAAGTCTTCCGAGATCTACAAAAAGGTAAGCAGAGTGTTATTATTTTTTAAAAAAATAAAAAATATATATATATATTAACTAACGCTCCCTCTATACCCTCCATAAGAACTTACCTTTGATCAAGGATGAAAACCTCTGAATCCTATAAAAAAAAGGTAATTAGTTTAAATAAAGTTAAAAAAAAAAAATAATTGCCATTTCCATTTTCTCTCCATAGGAATTTACCTCCGATTCAGGACGAAAACCTCTGGATCCTACAAAAAAAAAAGGCAATTTAACTTTAATTTTTTTTAAATAAAAAAAAAATAATAATTGCCACCATAGAAATTATCTTCTGATCCAAAACGAATCATATAAAAAAAGGTAAGTTATTGGGTTTTTTTTTTATTTTTAACAAATTAAAGCAATTTAACTATAAGAACTTACCTCCGATCCAGGATGAAGATCTTTGGATTGTGAGTTTTTTAATACAAGTAAAAAAAAATTTTTTGACTGATGCTTTCATACTCCTTCCATAAAACTTATCTTGAAAGTCCTCCGAATTCTACAAAAGGTAAGCAAAGGGTTATTATTTAAAAAAAATAAAAAAAAATAATATCATCTAACGTTCCCTCTATAGGAACTTACCTTCGATCAAGAATGAAGACCTCTGGATCCTACAAAATGAGGTAATTAGTTTTCTTTTTTTTTTTTTAAACAAATTAAAAAAAGTAATTTAATTGCGTTTCTATTCTTTCTTCATAGGAATTATTGGTTTTTTTTTTCTAAAAAACAAATTAAAAAATTTAACTGCGGCTTTCTATACCCGATCAAAAGACAAAAAAAAAATTTGTAATTTACCTTCGCAAAAGAAATTTTTAAAATTAACACCTATTTTAAATAATTGTCTTATGTAATCTTAATTATAAGATCACGTGACGATAAATGTACGAAATGCATTGTACTATAATATTTGAATACAGTACATTATTTAAGACAGTACTAGTACAATACTAGTACAATTCCCAACCCTAACTATAAGTATGCCAATCGGCTATAAATAAGATAGGTGGAATTTTGGCTGATTCTTGACCGATTTCTGATGTATGCCAATCGGCTAGGCTGATTTTTGATAATTTGCCGATTTTAGACTGATTTTAGGCTGATTTAGGCTGATTTTAGGCTGATTTTCACATGTCTGATTTTTTTTATTTTGACCAGTGAATGCATTACAGTATATCTACCACTTTTATTGATATCTATTATGATAATTTTCATATTGCATCTTATATGACAAAATTTAAATTTGACATTATCAAACCCATTCAAGCAAAGCAAAAAATCATTTCTAAAGCTGAAAATAACGAATGAATTCTCTAATTTTTAAAACAGCATAATGATAATTTTAAAGATACCCTCACAAAAATGATTGATTCCTATTTAGAACGAAATAGAAAAGCAGTAGTTATTGATCGTCTTCTGATCAACAAGAACTCTTTTGACCAATACTTAAAACTTTCACCAGATAACATCAAATAACAAACAGTCCATCATTTTCAAAATATAGCAGGATCTACTAATTGTGATGTTACAAACCCTGTCTTTAATAACTTCAAGCCTATTTGGAACAATTAGAAATCCTTTTATGATCTAGTCTTCTATATCGATAATAATATTTACTCATATATATTGGATATTCCTTTAGTTGATGACTGAAATACAATAATCAAAAGTTTTCCTGATCATAAAGCTATAGGTTTATCCTAAATCTCAAATGAAATGCTTAAAAAGCTAGGGTCTAAAATGAAGAATTTTCTTTACAATATCATTTGTGCATGCTTTATTAGCGATTTTACTCCTGCATAATGGAATTTAGCGTACATTTATATGATCTCTAAACCAAAGCCATAGAACTGTAACTTAAATAATACTAGACCTATTACACTCTTAGACACTGTCAGAAAAGCTTTTGTTAAAATTCTTAATTAATGACTCCAAGACATATTGATAAAACACAATGTCATCAAAAGTCTTAACTTTGCCAGTCTTTCACACTAGTCAACCCTAGAACCACTTTACATTGTTAACAATCTGCTTGAATATCACCGTTTACAGAGAAAGACACACTAACACAATTATTCAAATTTGTATGTTTTATTTCAAGATATGTTTAAAGCCTATGACCGGGTAAACATTTACATGCTTAGAAAGACTATGGAAATACTGCGCATTCCTAATCCTTTCATTCAAATTATTACTAACCTGTTCCTAAACAGATTTAACTCAGTCTTCATAGCATATGGCAATACAGATCCTTATAACATAGTAGTTGGCATTGATCAAGAAGAAGTTATATCTCCTCTTTTGTGGATAATCTATTATGATCCACTTTTATCCAGAATCCAACAAACAAACTACGGTTACAATATATCTATTACTTGAAAACCTGATATAACTAACAATATCACTAAAGACCTTTCAGTTACCATTCCTAACTCAGCATTTATGGACGATACAATCTGAATTTATAATAACATTGAAAACTTGTCCTCGATTTTTGACATCGCTCAGTCCTTTTTTGATCTCAACTTCATGAAAGTTAATCATGATAAATCCTTTATCCTGACCTCTGAATCAACCAGATCAAATATTTCCATTTTTAGTAATTATCTGAAAACGCATGTCACTTTTCTGACCTTGAAACCATCAGAATCAACCCCGTTATCTTGGAATCTGGATTTCAGCTTCTTACAACAAAAACTTTATCAAACAACAAATTACTAACGAGATTATTTCTTCACATATTTATAAGTATTTTCATTACAAAATTTATAATACAGGATTAAACGTATGATATTAAAAAGTATATATTATAATTAAAAGATTTTATTTTATTATTTTATAAAATTGCGAAGTTTTATTAACAATTACATGATAAAAATTTTAAAAAAATTACATGTGCATACTTTTCTTTAAATTGTTTTTCAATTACTCATTATGGCACACTTCCAACCAATAGAAGCAGGATCTACTGGCTAATCATGTGATAAACATGAATTTTCTTTCACACTTTCCGAGGTCTACTGCAGTATTCCGCAATCACCATCCGTTACGAAAACTCTTGGTGATATACTGGTTGCTTCTTTTACACATTGAAAAACCCATTCATAGGAGAGCTGTGTTTCATCATCAACAATCGCCTGAGCTACGATTCGTGTCTTTAAATTATTGTCTTTAAATTATTGTCCGGAGTGACGAAAAGAGACAATGAACCTGAATACTGACCAGATTCGAACTGATCAGAAAATTCGGAACACTAATAATTTAATAAATAAACATAAAATTTGTCAACTTTGGCTAGCAAGGTTTTACGGAGGGTAAACTTTACACCATGATAATTTTCTTGAACCCACCGCTAACACAACAAATGCCGAAGTGACGTACTCGCAATGGTTTCGGCTGTCTTGTTCATTTAAATTGTGCACATATACAAGAAGTTGTTCACAGCCATCATTAAAAATCTGCTCCATAGTCTTGCCCTTATCGAATTGTCCATCGTTACCACACTTTAATTGACGCACATCACTTTCTGGCATTGATTCGACGTTGTTCGCCCTAGGGATGGTAACGGTCGGTCAACGGTCGGTCAAAATCGGTCAGAATCGGTCGGTCAGAAGCCTTTAACCGACCGATATCGGTCAAGGTTATGACCGGTCATGACCGTGACCATTAGCATCCCTAGTTCGTCCTATTTTCCATAACTTCCCAATTTCTATTGTATCATAGGATTCAATAATTTTAATTAAAACATGATGATAAGCATAAAAGAAACTCATGAAAAAATATGAAAACGTACCATTGATTTGTAAATCTAAACCTTTACACTTAAATTTAAAAATAATTCAATTCTATCAGAAACAGGTCTGGTCTCAGCTATTAGCAGATCAGCATAGCAAACGCAACAGAAGTGTTGTCAAGGATGTTTTCTGACACGTCTGATGGACCGTCAACGTTCATAGTGATGTCTTTTGGAGGTGAAGCGGTTGTTTCAACTTCTTTGTTTTTTTTCCTTTGTCAGCGTTGTTAGTTGAACTTTCCGCAAGTGAGTCAACTTCCATGGTATTGTTGTCCTTTGCAAAATAGCAAGTCTTTATTAATACTCTATCACTAAATATTTATTGGAACTTCCGTATCATTAAGGTAGTTGGAATCGTTGAGAGAGAGACATGAAACATCACTTTCGTGACCAATTCTCTGTCATCGTAAAGGTTTCCTCTTTATCTGCTAAAAGATTTAAGAACATTTGTTGTTGATAATAGTCTAATGGCCCTAATTGTTCCAAGTAAGTTGGAACTGCTTCAGCTGAATATCCAGCAATTTCGGCAAGATAAGCGGTAATCCATTCCTTTAATTTTGACTGCAGATATAAACACAATGTGCTGATGTCGTGATGATGGATGAGATTTTCAACAGCGCGTTTAAATTCCTGTGAGTTGGTGTCAATACTGCAAAGATTAATGATACGATTTTCATGACAACAACATTTGGTAAACGGTAAAACTCTGACTTTTTTTGAGAGAGATAGCTGTTTTATCGATTGATTGGTTCAGATGATGTACCCACTTCTTCTCTCTTACCACCTCAGCTTGTATTTGTAGACGTGAACCAACTTTATTAATATACTAACTAGCCTTTTGACTACGAGAAACACAGAGCACATCCAATGCTTCAAATTGCGATTTTTTATCGAAAATATCCTAGGAAGTTGACATGTGAATACGTGTTAATTCAAAAATCATTTGGACTCCAAGGAGGACTATCTAATTTCACACAATTCACACACCTCTTTCGTCTTCAGCTGTTCCTCCAGATCAACATTTTTACAAAAACTCGTTGCTTCAGGTGGGTGCTTCTGAACTCAAAAAGAAGCAGCTAGCAAATATATAAAGAAAATTAAGTTATTTTGTACATATTATTTTGAGCTTTCTGGGGGAACGTCACCCCGCAACTGCCGCACCGGGAACGTCATACCTCGAGCAGGTCGTCACTACTCAGAGATCGCGAAAATTTTACCCATTTTTTTGCGGTTCAAATAGAATAGATTGTTAACAAACCTGCTGAGTCAGCAAAGTTGCAATTTCGAGTCGCGTTTTGCTATTATCGTCTTGTAACTCCTGTTCTTCCAACGAGCCCTGAACTAATTTAAGGTGAGGTTTCATTGCTTCGGGTACGATTCGCCAGACCGGTAAGGTACGAATTTTAGAAAATTCGAGTACTCAAAGTATGACCGAAATATCAAATAATTGTAAGTAGGTGGACAAATTAAAAAAAAATCTAATTAACGCGGTCTCGATAAGCATGAAGGAATTTATCTCTGATTGGATCTTTAGATACAAATTATAATTGGCTAATTATCACATGATTTTAACTCAAAATAAATCATAATTACATAATTATAAAAAAATAATATGCCATGACTTTTACATTAAAACTTTATTCAAGATGACCTTTGCAAACTAAAAGTTCTTTGAAATCTTGTATAAAACAATAAATAATAATCGAAGAATGTCTTAGAAAGTTGGGATAGCAAAACGGGATGTTCCTTCCTAAATATAAAATTCTTAACTTTCTATCTTGTTAAATATTGGTTTTATATGTTCTATAGTTAAAACCTTCAAACACTGGATCAGACTGGATCAGGGAATGGCAAACGAAAGTAAATGTGCTAGAGAAAGGATATGTCGATACTTAGTAAAAAATTACCATATAACTGATCATTTTTGATATACGTTGTACTGTAAACTTAATGGTCAAATTGAATGCCGTCACGATATCGCAATGATCACATATATAAATCCTTTTTTTTTTTTTTTTTGATTTATATATCATATTCTAAAAATTTATCGCTAAAATAGATGGCTTTTCTCCCGCAGAAGCTATACTTTAAGGAAGGGTACTGATCTGAAAAATTCAACACAATAACTCATAATTATCGTTATCATCCAAATATGAAAAACTATATAGTAGTATAAAAGAGTAATGAGATTTATACACAGTGCTTTTAGAATCCTGACTCTAAAATTTTGACATACCCAAAATCCTGATGGTCTTTAATCCCGAATGGATATAATCTTGACTGTTAAAATCCCCAAAACCTAACCCTAACCCGATTCTAACCCTAATTCAACGCAATAAAAAAATATAACCCAATACTAAACCTAAATCCTGATCATGACCTAGACCTAATATAATGCTAAAACTTATTAGTTTAGTATATTTCAATAATTATCGCATTTAAAATGTATTAGTACTGCGCTACGGTCTTTTTTAAAAAATATAGGTCAGGATTTTGAACAGTCGGGAATATGTCCATTCGGGATTAAAGACCATCGGGATTATGGACTACCAGGAATTTTGGGTATGTCGGGAATTTAGAGTCGGGATTCTGGGCTGTCGGGATTCTGGGTGTCGGGATATTTGTAGGAAATGTACTCATTAAGTTATCACAAATAACGATTAGAGAATCGGATCCATAATTTCTTTATTTATTTCTGATGCTGGCTTAGCAAAAATCATAGGAAAAGATTAAAGAATTCTGCAACTGGCTGAGGAACAATTATGGGATATGGGAGGAAATTATAATCTTCGTAAAGTTTCAGACCTTTTACTAAGTTCTTGAATTATCAACGATTTTAACTTTATCGATTCTCCTCCTACTACTTCCAAGTGACACGATAAAGATTTGTTAAATCAAAACCAGTTAACTTCAGGTTCAATAAACGCTCAAGAAGAAATTAGAAACCAATGATTTGTGGACAGATTTTATTAAAAATGCTTGTCATGATAAATTTGTTGACACTAAAACTTTAAAGAAATTGTGTGGATAAAATAATGATTTTTTTCATATTCTTTCTTTCCGAAGTGAAAAATTAATATACTTTCCCCCGTTCCCTTGCCTTACGAAAAAGTCTTTCGCAAGCTCATTCTATTTTTGTGTCCCCTTTCCATCACCCCGTGTATATATAAACCAGAAGTTTTCTTTGGAAAACAGCTGAATGAGGTTCGGTTATGTTCCTTTTCAGTCGAAGAACTTCGATAAGAAAGAAACTGGTTATCAAAACTCCAGAAGGGATAAACACAAAGAAGGACAGAACTTGGGAAACTAACTTGCCAAGAAGGATCGTTGAAATTGTGGTTTATAATTTTTAATTTTGTAATTTATTTAATAAAGATTTTTATTTTACTTTTTGCATTAAGTCCCAAGTAAATGAAATAATCATTTTGTGCCTTCTTCTACCTTTGTCTTTTTGTAATTCGTGATTTTTATTACTATTAAATAAGGTCGTGATGCAACCTCTACTTTTTATTAATGAATTTGACGTGCAACCGCAACCGGCTTTCTCATAATTCTTTCCTTCAGAGTCGGTGGGATTAAAAAGCATCCGATTCCTAGCCAAAATAAAAATCCAATTAGAATTGATGAAATTAAAGAAAGAATTTAAATAGCCAAAATGGGGAGTCCACCTATATTCAACGATCGAAATTTTAAGTATTTTTGGAATTTGATATTGCGAACTTAACATAAAAATGAATATTTTGGTAAAGTAATTCGTGGTTACTCATTTTTACGATTAATTCAATACAAAGATTTTTAATATTGTAGCCCTATCAACTTCTCTCTTTTTTTTTTTTTTTTTTTTTAAAAAAAAAAAACTTAGTAGAACGTCAAAAGCTGATTATTTATTCCTATTAATTAATTATAACAACCCTTAACAAGAGAATCAAATTTGCACGAGAGAATTTTCATTGTAATTTCACGTAATGAATTGTAACAATTAATTAATAAATTTCATTCACCATAAATATATAAGAAAGCAAATGGCTTGATCAATTTATGTTATAAAAAAAGAATTTATAATAATTCTGTAGTTCATTGCATATAGAGCAGGTGAATTTACAAATACGTCTTTTTGATTGTGACACAAACTGGAGATCGTCATCCCTGCTTCAAAACACGGATCCTTCACTGGTTAAGCTTCTAGAATACCTTACACCTCCTTCCCATTAATAACTCGAAAATTTAGAAGGTGGTTTCTTACTTCACGATAAAAACACAATATAAACATAAAAATAAAATGGCTAATAAATTACAAAATGCTGAAGATTATGAAAAATCTTTATTTGAATTGGATGCGGAATTGGATAATATACAGAAGTGTGCAGAAGAAATTTTTCACAAAATGTGGGTTGTTTTTAAGTTTTTAACGAATATATATCTTCATCAGAAACTTTTTTTTAAAAAAAAAAAAAATTTGCATTTTAGAGATAGCTCATTTTCTTATCCATATCCTATTGGTTCTGTCTCGGGTAATATTATTTTTATTTTTATTATATCTTTCTCAATTACAAAATTGTATATTAATTAAAATATTTTTAATCACTCAGCCGAATTAAATGTTCTTCTATCAGCAATTCAACATTTCGAGAAAAAATCTAAAAACTTGGGTATATCAAGTTTAACAACTACTGATATAAAGGTTCCATTTAATGAACCTGGTAGATCAACTGCTGAATTATATCAAGAATCAAAACGTATTACTGATAATGCTAAAGCCGCTTTATCCGGATAACAAGATTCATTTGAAGAAAGTAATAATTATTTGAATGAATGATTTTTTTTTTTTTAAAAAAAAAAAAAATAAAATAAAATAAAAAAAAGCGAAATTAATGGTTTATTTTTTTTTTTCCCTCTATGTTGAACATTAAATTACAACAATAATTATATTATTATTAGTCATTATATAAACTTAAAGATCAGAGGAATCTTGGAGAAAAGAATTTAATTTTCTGCTACCTTATACCAATAGCTTTGTCTGAATAAAGTAATAGTATACAAAACATATTATATCGTTATTGTATTGATGAAATTTTCTCAAATTATGAAATAAAAGAACACTCGCTAAACAAAGTTCCTCGAGCGACTAATTCTTTATCACCGATTTTGATATGCGCGTCGCCTTCGTTAAACCATTGATAGACAAAAGGTTTCGCGACAAAGGCTTAAAATTTATAAATGTTTTTAGAAAACGGAAAGTAATGAAAATTTAATATGCACTTGATATGTCTCCTATAGTTTTCTTACCTTGCACAATTTTTTTCAAAACATAGGGAATCTCGTTCAAAACATCAATTCTATCCATAGGAGTGTCTAGCTTAATCTCTATATAAGCCGAGAAATCTTCACTTTTCTCCAAAGTTTTTCCTTTCCAAGTATATCTGATCTTTGAGGGAACGTGATATCCTGTTTTAGGATCTAAATATGTTTCCAAGAAATTTGTCACGTTGTCATCGGTAACTCCCACCAGCTTGTTATTTACAATCAAACCTCCTTGATTAGATTTTTTACTTCCGTAATGTGGAGTCGTCTCAAACTCGCACAATGATAGTGAAACTTCATTATCATCATTGGATTGGAAATTAACGAAATTCCAACGCGAAGCGATTAAATGTGGGCGCATTCCTTGAACAGCATGCACAAATAATCCAACTCCGGAGATATCGAACGTCTTTCCATCAACCGTTATATTTCCTTTAACAATTCCCTTTGGCCAAAATTTATGTTGAACATACTCTGATTCTTTTTTACCAAAATAAGTCTTGCCGCCATTTTTCTTTTGAAAACCACGATCGACTTGTTCAAATTCAAAATCAATAAACAAATCTTTATCATGTTTTAAAATTACTTTATATTTATTACATTCCGGATTGAGTTTAATTGACATATTATCAGCTTCGGCTGATAAGCGATCCTTTGAAAGTTTGAAATTGGACATATTGACAGATTTAAAGGTATTTATTCCACCACCATAGAAACGAGTGGTAAATTGGATTGTAGGTTTCCATAAACTATATAATAAGAGAATGTTCATTTTATATAATTCAATTTTTAAATTGCAATTCGTTCGTTCTTTTATGATAAAATAAGATTTAAATTAAAATTTTTACCCAATATTCGAATGAATCATTTGGACAAAAGCAAAATGTCCCTCGTTGGTAGCCAAATAGAATGTTTGAGTTTCTGTGGAAGAACCTGGAGCCAAAGTCCACTCAAGATCCTTCTTAGTAACTTCCGAAAAGTCATTGTTATTCAAATCACGAAGGTCCGACATTTCAAAGTTTTAAAGCTCAAAATGATTAAAAGATGATTCAATAGTTTGTAATGAGATTTTATATCATTACGACGGAAATAATTTTTTCCATAATTTGTCTTATTATGGTTATGGTTTACCGAGATAAAAAACGTTTATGGTAATGGATGTATGATGAACATGTATGGATGTATGATCACCATATATGTTTTTACTCCGATCGAACATTGTCACTTTATAATTAGGATATTTTCTTGAGAACAAACAAATTTTTTTTTAGGAAAATGAACTTATAAAACTTTAAGGTAATTTAGGGAAAGATGAGTCTTTTTCATACTAATTTTTTTTTAATTGTTCCTATTAGTCCATACGTTAAATGTATGGTGATGATGGAATTTGGCGGCCAAAATGTATGGTCACGTGTAGCATGTACGATTAATATATTATAGCAAATCATGAATCATAAACCTTCGTTCATTTTTTACTTTTCAATCTCCGTTCTAATTTTTGAACTCCGCTCCATTTTTTCAATGATAGATAGCGTTGATATAAAGTTAGCTTGGTCGAATCGGCCGAAATCAGTGGCCAAATCAGCGGTCAAAATTCAATGCATTTAGCCTAGCCAAATGACACATGACTTTGCCAAATTTTGGCCGCGGTTTATTTGCAAAAATGCAAAAATTGACGTATATTTGACGCTTCCGACGTCCGGATAAAAAGCAAATTTAATATTATAATTTTATATTATAATCTTTAAAATTTGAGAAATAATAAAATTTAATATCTGATTAATGATTCTAACATTAGTGATTAATAAGTCATAAGTTTTTTAATTAAAATTAATTGGTCGGCCAATAACTTAAAATAAAATTTGGCCACTTTGGCCATAGCCAAACAGCCCAAACGGCCATCGGCAATATTGCCAATTATGCTTGCACGTGACCATACATTGATCCCATACATACATCATACATACATAGCTCCATAACGTTTTCGCAATACCGGGATGACAAATTTTTTCAAGAAATTCTTCCATTTACCACAAACTTTTAATTTCAAAATGACTTCCGCTATAGATTATAGGAATAAAATAATCCTTGCACCTATGGTATGACAGGCGTTAAGACTTGAAAGTTTTGATATTTGGCATCACTGAAAAAAAAAAAATTATTATTTCATTAGGTAAGGGTAGGAACTTTACCTTTGCGCTTACTAGCTTTAGAATTCGGAGCAGGTAAATATCGTTCATAATGATTTGATAAAATTTTTTCACATCATCAAAGTAAATTCTATCCATCTTTATTAGATCTAGTTTATTCACCTGAAATGGTGGATAAGCGTATAATTGCCTCAGAAAGACATTTCGACGGTAAATACAAGAATTTCCAATTAAAAAGAATTCTTTTTTGTTCATTCAGTTTCCTTTTACCAGGGCCAATGCTACATATTTGAACTCACTATTCAGGATAAAACCGCCTAATAGAAGAAACAAGGCTAATCGCATATGTGGACGATAAGAAGACGATAAATTTTCGATCTCATCCTATAGAAAAATCGAAGTTGATCTTTCAAATTGGAACTTCAGATCCCGAATTAGCACTTCAAGCAGCATTAAAAGTGTAAGTCAATTCTTTTTTTTAAAAAAAAATACATTATCTATTATTTTGCGGTGATATTTATTTATTTATTTTAAAAAAAAATTGTTTTTTAAACAAAATATATGTATATATTTAATCCCCTCATAAAATAGAAAGCAAGATGTGTCAGGTATAGATGTTAATTGTGGATGCCCAAAAAAGTTTTCGATTCAGGGTGGTATGGGAGTCGCTTTATTATCAAATCCTGATAAATTAAAATCTGTAAGTGAAAAATCGATTTGTCACGTAAATACCGGTTTCAAATTCATTAGTTTTTCTTATAGATATTGACCAACTTGGTGCAAAATTCTGGCCTTCCCATAACTTGTAAAATAAGGTATTTTGTATTAAATGTTTATTTATTTATTATTTTTTTTTTTTTAAAAAAAAAAAGTTCTCAGCATTACCTTACAATTTTTGTAATAATTAATAGAATGTTACAAACAAAAGAACAAACTTTAGAACTGTGTAAAATGATAGAATCCACGGGGGTTAAGGCAATAACGATTCATTGCAGGTATTGAGTATTAAAATTAATTTCAAACAATACAAGGTTAATTCTACAATTTATTAAAAATTTCAACTCAATTAAGAACAAAGGATGAACGTCCGAGACAACCAGGACATTGGGACATCTTTAAATATATTGCGGACAATATCACATCTATTCCTATTATTGCCAACGGTGATATATTTCAGCGTTCTGATATTGTCAAGCTTAAAGAAATTTCAAGTGAGTACACGAAAAAAAATTTGGTTGATTTGATGCTTTTATAGTTTTGCTAACAGCCATTCTTATATAGACGTCAGCTCTTTTATGATTGCTCGCGCAGCACAAAGTAATGTATCAATCTTTCGCGAGGAAGGGACGTTGTTATTAAAGGATGTTGTAACAAGATACATTAAAAAGGTTAGCACGATCAGAATAACCTGTAAAGTGACATGTTTACTCTTATTTACTCCATTTTTTGGTAGGCAATTGATGTTGGAAACAATTGGCCAAATACAAAATACACGCTCGTGCAAATGTACGCCGAGTGTGCAAAAGAACCCGAATACAGATATTTAACTCAATCAAAATCATATGAAGATGTTTGCAAAATTTATGGTCTGGAATCCTATCTTCAAAACGCTAATGCAACAAACGGATCTTTTATAAACGGTAATGGCGTGGGTCATATCATTTTAAGATAACAGGAGACTATCCTTTAAAAGTAAAAATAATTAATTAATTTATATACTAGCTCTTTTTGGACAACCTAAAATTAAGTGCAAAAAACTCAAAAGAAACCAAGATGAAATCGATTTTGATTCAAGTGATAAGAAGAAAAGAAAGGTTGAAATATAATTATTTATAATTTTAAATTTTATAAAAATGTACAATATCACGTGATAAATGATGACATTTGACTAAATTACAATTCCGATTATGCAAGTTATATGTCAAATTAATAAAAATTTAAAATGGGGTTTTTTTTTCAGCATCTATTAATAAAGTCTTTACCTAAAAAGAAGAATTGTTACAATAAATGATATCATGATATTCTTCGTCTATGTTCAATAAATAAATAGTAATAATAATAATAGTAGTAGTAATAATATTAAATTTCGGCACGACCAATCGTATGAACACGGAATCCAATATTTCGCAATTTTTCAGCGTCAAGAATAAGACGCCCGTCAAAGATAAATGCTGGTTTATGCATTTTTTCGTAAATTTTTGTATAATCCAATTCCTGATAATATCATAAATAAATAAATAAATTATTTATTAAATGATGACAAATCTTTCCATTATGATACTAACCTTGAATTCATCCCATTCGGTAGTAATTACTATTGCATCTGCGTCTTCAGACGCTTCATAAGCAGATTTAGCGATTGTGACCCGTTTATTCACTACAAAAAAGAAAAGAAAAATATATAAGATGATCGGTCTTTAGACAATTTTTTCAAGCATATAAGATGATGCATCATCTACCACACTTACAACTTTCATGGTCATCTACACCGGGTGCACTTAAATCAAAGAAGATTTGCTCAGTGGAAACTTTTGGATCGTAAATACGAACTTTGGCATTTTCTTGAATAAAATCTTTGCATAAGGTTATGGCAGCAGATTCACGAGTATCGCCGGTATCTTTCTTAAAGGCAAATCCAAGTACAGCGATTTTCTTATTGGTAATAGTGTTAAAGAGAGTTTTGATAATATGAGAAACGAAACGTTTCTTTTGATAATCATTTAAATCAACAACTTGTTTCCAATATGCTGCCACTTCAGGTAAATTAAGTTGCTCTGATAAATAGACCAAATTCAAAATATCTTTTTGAAAGCAACTGCCACCGAACCCAACCGAAGCCTTCAAAAATTTTGGTCCAATACGTGTATCCCTTCCGCACGCATAGGCTACTTCATCGATATCAGCGCCTGTTGCTTCACAAATTGCTGACAAGGCATTGATCGATGAGATACGTTGAGCTAATAATGCATTGGCCGCCTTAAACAATTTGTTAAAGATTAATTTTTTTTTTAAAAAAATAAAAAAAAAATAAAATAAAAAAAAAAAAGGAAAATAATTACCAATTTTGAAAGTTCGGATGACCATAAGTTTGTGGTAATAATACGATCTGTAGGAACCCAATGAGCGTAAACTTCAACTAAAGCTTGCTGGGCTCTTATACCATCTGGAGTTTGTAAACCACCAATCAATACTCGATCGGGGCTCAATAAATCAGTAATAGCGGTTCCTTCGGCAAGAAATTCGGGATTTGATAAAATATCAAACCGAATATTTTCATTGCTATTTGCTTCCAAGATTGTACGCATACTTTCCGCGGTACGGCAAGGTACAGTGGATTTTTCAACAACGATCTTTGAACTTTTCGCGACATTGGCAATCTTTCGGGTAGCAGACTCAACATAACTTCAAATCGAGAAAACATTTACTAATTCGTTCCAGCATTTCAAATTTCCGATGATTTACAAATATAAATAAATACTTACGCCAAGTCAGCGGCAAAACCAGCGCCTAGACCGGATTTCTTTGTTGGCGTATTCACTGACACAAAAATTAAGTCTGCCTCTATGACAGCTTGTTCAACTTGGGTAGTGAAGAACAAATTTTTTCCACGACGTTCAAAGACGATTTTATCAAGTCCTGGTTCGTAGATGGGGAGGAGGTCAGAATTCCAGGCGTCGATACGAGCTTCATTTAAATCAACGATGGTGACGTCTATATCATGACATTTATACGCTATCACGGCACAAGTTGGTCCACCTGAATTGAAAAAGTGAAAGTTAGATTATGGACCCAATGTAGTAGATCCGATTCGTAAAGTCGAGTTTATCGTGAGATATTTACCAACATAACCGGCTCCAAGGCAGCAGATTTTCTTTACTTGAGTGGTCATGACTTGTTTTTGTTATAAATATTTTGTGATGTTTTGATTTTTTTTTTTTTTTTTTTTTTTTTTTTTCCTCACTCACACTCTTGATATTTTCGGAAAAAATCAAACGTTATTTTGAAAAGAAAGAATTATAAAAGAAAATGAAATTCGGTTTTTATTTATATATGGGTCCGATGAAAACATGAAAAAAAATTTTTTGATGCCTTTGACGAATCGATTTTATTGCGAGATTTTTTAATCTTCTATTTGCATTTTGCATCTTTTGTTTATGATAATACAATTTAAACCATCCAATCAAATACAAGAAAATTGATTCGTACGACCTCAAATATTTATGACATTTAGAAACAGTTCGGAATTTTACTTCTTTTTTTGAATGATTTCTCTGACAAGTAATAAGTTTTATGCAATTTGTTGCATTTAGTGTATCCACGAATCTAGTGTGAAATGAAATTTAATCTAACTTCTACAGAGTTTTGCATTTATATTATTTAACCACAATGATTTTTCATTAAAAGATTTGACCGCAGTCCTATTAACTTTATCAGATATTAATAATAAAATGAAGGCTGTCAAATCTTTCGGTAAAGATCGATATTCACGCATTCCAGATTTTTTTTTGTAGTTTTTTTTTTTTTTGCTGATTACAATTCATGCTGTGTCAAAAGAATGTACGATTTTCACACCAAAAAAAAAAAAAAAAGACCTTAATTATATTAAGTATGGGCCACATGAAAATTTTCACAAAAAAAAAAAAATTTTATTAATTGTACTTAAAGGGAAATTTTTATTCCTAGGTTTTTCCTCAATAACCTTTTGATGATTTAAAAAATAAGTAAATAAAAAAACAAAAAAAAAAACAAACATTTGACGCACGCAGTAACACCTTTGAACTCTTCTTTTTTTTTAAAAAAAAAAAAAAAAATCCTGAATCCATGAACTAACTGATCAGACGATCTGTCGATCCCGATCACCATAAAGCTAATGATGATAAAGATCCCACAACCGAATGATTTTGTTACACGTAATACAAACATCCTAAAATGTGAGGTTTTATGGTCATGGATTCAAATCTCCTTTATCTTTTTTAGGAAAAAGTCGTTTTTTTTTGATGGTGATTCATTGGTTCATACAACGAGAATTTTTGGATATTTCCTTCCATAAGCGGGACAATAAATATTTGTCAATTGAATTTTTAGGGAAACTCTTAAAGAAAAAAAAAAAAAATTATGACGATTTATTGTAAATGGATTCACCCAAAAAATATACTCCCATTTATCCAAAAATCCGCTTTTTCAAGCCTTTTTGAAATTTTTTTATGTATGAATTTCAAATTTAAAGGTGGGTTACGATTTCTGGTAAGAGGATTTCCTATATTTTTCGATTGGCGCGGACCATTAAAGAAAAAAATGGAAAGCCACATGGAAATTGAACAAATCAACTTTTAAAGCTCGGCGTGGGGTTCGGGAAATAATTTATGGAAAAGGAAAATTATAGTCGAATAGATTTATTTTGATAAATAATGGAAAAAAAAGCTGAGTTCAACTTTAGCGGGTATCCCGAGAAATCAGTTCACTTCACATGATTTTTTCAATATGGTAAAATAATTTTTAAAGTTTACGTTCTAAAATGCATTCTGAGAATAGTTCAAAAGCTAAGCAGGAATCATTTTGATTGCGACACCTGATTATGTGAAAAGAGAAAGAATTCTTTCACACGCCGGAGCTGGTTACAATTGTCATACAACAACTAAGGATCAAAAAAAATTATAGAAAACACAACCCTCTCTACAAAAAGGCTCAATAGAATCAAAAAAGGATTAGCCCGTTTCTCCGATGATATCATGTTCGACGATATTCAGGGTCTAATTGGGGATAAAAAAATTTTCAGAGAAGATCATTGAGGAAATGGCTTAGAATCAAAAAGGGCTTTCCACCCCCAAAAAGGCTCCCATCAACTTAAGGTCACCCTACAAATAACTTTTTCCGCTATAAAAAAAAATGATCTGGGGCTTTTTTTTTTTTTTTTTTTAGCTGAGATGCAGTTTTATTTTGAAGATTAATCATCTTAAAAATAGTGGCTCTGAATTACAGCTGATTTTTTTTTAAAAAAAAATGCCCCGGATGCAACATTCCTAAACTTTATTACTGATTATGCGAGTACAATAGATTGTGGTATTACTAATAAGTGTTGTGCAAATCTTTTTTTTTTTTTTTATAAAGCTTCTGACAGATTTATGTAAGTTATAATTCAACAAGGAATCGAACAGGAAAAAAAAACTTTCCTTTTAACACATGTCGATTCGTTTTTTTTTTGCTCTCTCTTCATTTCCAAATTAGGTTGTAAAATAGGTTGAATTGTTTACCGCAGCAAGCAATAAACTGTTGATCCTTTCAGACGAAAAGAAATATTAAAGACTAAATTGACTAAATTGTTTTTGTGGTCACAAGTGATTTTCAAACCATTCCCTCGTTCAAATGTATTTAAGATTTAAAATCCATTTTAAAAAAAAAGAAATTGAATTCGCCACACTTAAAAAAAATTGAGGCGCTGTTATTTTTTTTTAGTTCTTTCATTTCTTTCATACACTTTCAACATTTATATGTTGTTTACTATCTAAAAATAATTGATCATTTATTATTTCCTCCTTTTTTTTTTTTGTGAAAGAAAAAAATTGCGATTAAAAATATATGATCCCCCCAAAAAATTAGTTTTGTTTCCCGTCCCTTCCGAAATCCAGTGTGACAACATAAAAAAAAATTTTTTTTTGTTTGTAGATTTGCTAGTTGTGAAACGATTATAAAAAAGATTTAAAAAATTATGTTGTGCTTTTTAAAAAATAATCATCAAGAATAATCATCAACTGAATGATAAAAAAGATTTACATTACCTTGCTTTGCCTATTGGCTGAGACTTTTTTTCCTTAGTTCTTGAAAGCCCAGCAAACAAACATTAAATAAACAGTCCATCTGCAAATTTTTCTTGCTTTTCTACCGGCTGCGAATTTTTTTGAAAAAAAAAAAACACTCCTTCGTGTTTTTTCTTTTGTTCTTCATTTTTTTTTTTTACGTCCTCCCGCACCGTCCACCTTTTTCTCTCTATTGTGCGAGGTTTTTGTAACATATAATCACTTGTTCTCTCTGAAACAAAACCGTAAAAAAAAACCTTTTTTGTAACGTTTTTACGACTTACGACGTAAAAAAAAAAAAAATATTTTAACGCTGCGGCCTCTAAGGAAACGATAAAAAAAAAAAAAAAATTTAAAAAATAAAAACCTCAAAAAAAAAAAAAACCAAAAAAAAAATCCAAGAAAAGATTTATTATATTTTGATAAATTCTTCTTTATTTTTACGAATTTTTTTACGATTTTTTTCACCTCTTAATTTTTTTATGAAACCAAACCAATTTTTCTTTTAAAGAGAGAAATCAAAAAAGTGTGTACTCACGATATTATTATACGTATACGAAAAAAAAAACAGATATAATTTTTTATCCTTAAACAAAATACTTTAACGAACAAAAAAAAATATGCCATACGCTCCAGATAATAGGTAATAAGATAAAGAAAAATTTTTATTCGTTTGTTCCTTTTGGACCCTTCGAATGCTAACCTTCACTCGTAATATTTGCCAGTAACCTTATGCTTCCCGTAGCATCACACGTGCACCAAAGCTATGGAGGATTTCAACATTTTGGACCGGCAGGGGGATATCCGCCTCATGCGTAAGTGTGAATTCTAATTTTTTAAGAAAAATGACCACATCATTATTACTTTTTCTCCTCCTCCCTAGCATATACACAAAAAAAAAAATTTGATGTACAAGAATTATTCCTTATATTATTTCTCTGGTGCATATCTAGAATCAGATATCAACCAGAAGTATTTTCTCCGACGACATTGTTAGTACTTTTATACTTTACCAAAAAAAAAAAAAAAAAATTATACATAAATATATGTGTGTGCATTGCCTTTTTTGATTAACAAATTTTTTTCTTAAATAATAAATCAATCGATCGAATATATACATATGTATCTATAAAATAAAAAAACAACCCCCCCAATCATTCGTTAATCAATTCAGTACACCACCACATCCGCCAACCTATAAATCAGAACTTCATGATAACCACGCAAATCCTCCCCTCATGAATCATGGTGGTCTAATGCCCTCAACGACTCTTCCTTCCGTAAGTACCGTGCCTGTATCCTCACAACCGGCGCTTTCTCCGATCTCATCACTTAATGGAGGAAATACCGGCAATGAGTATCATATGTCTCATCATATTCATCAACATCAAGCCAATTCTGCTACAAATGCCACAACCTATCACCATTCTCCTCCTCTCGAACACGCTCAACAATTAAATCAGGAAGTTTCCAATTACAGCAACACCGTTTCTCCTGTGAGCATGCCCTCTCCTCCCTCCAGCATTCCCCCTTCTCAATCTAATTTGCGATTTGAGATCATCCTTGAGGCTCCAACTGCTGCTGCCCAACGTACTGATGAGACCCCATTGACCTACCTCAATAAAGGTCAATATTATGGTTTTTGCATTCAGGATCAAGATAAATTTGATGGGGAATTCATAACAACGATTAAATTAATGTTTCATGATGATACTCATCGTAAATTGGCCTCAACTTATTGGAGTTTTTGGTTAACACAACAGACCTCTCCAAAGAATGCGAGGGCTATTGATATTGGTGTGTTTTAATTTTTAAGCATCTATTCTATACTTAAAATCTTTATTATCGTGTTGATTTACTTATTGGTTCTCCCTACATTTCTCATTCCCTCAACCCTTCCCATTTTTTATTTTATAAATTTTAAACAAGATAAAGCTGCCTCAACAGGACTTAGTAATGTAGAAACAAAGACCTTTGATCGTATACAATTTCGTTGGCATGGCAAGAAAGGGGCAAAGCTTTTTATACGATTTAGTTGCCTTTCTACTGATTTTTCACGGATAAAGGGAGTGAAAGGAATTCCTTTAAGAATTCAAGTGGAAACCAAGAGTGATAATGGTACCACTTGTTCAATCTTGGAGAAATCGTTTGCCAAGATTAAATTATTTAGAGATAAAGGCGCTGAACGTAAAAATAAGGATGATCAGAAACATCTCGAAAAGATGTGTGAAAAGATGAGAGGCAAAACACAGGAGACGACGCCTATGATCATGATGTATGCGCCCCCACATTCCGTGACATTATTTAATGAGATGGCGGGTACCAATGATGTATCCGATGATGATGATGTGTTGAACCTTTCTGAATCGTTAAACAACCTTGAAGATGTTGAAGGAGGTGATCTTATACCTCTTCCCTTGGGTAAACGTAGAAGGTTTTCGATGGGACCTGATTTCTTGGAACCATTGGATTGTGACCCAACATACATTCCACATTTAAGAAAACGACGAGCAGGTAAATAACTGTAACCTTTTTTTAGATAAATGTATGAAATTATTAACAAAGAGAAAAATATATATATATATGTTCATATATTTTTTTTATCTGTTTTACCTAGTGCTATGCATCTATGTTAAGCTACCGGGCGAATCTGCTTATCGTGCCGTTTACTTGAACCACCTCACTGTTCAAGACCTTACGTCAAAATTATCTGATAAACTCTCTGAGAAAATTGATCTTCAAGGTCAGCAGATTTCAGGTGTTTTTAGGTCAACCAAACGAAACCTTACTGTACGTATTGATGATGACACGATTCATCAACTTGAAGATGAAACGGATATGGAAGTTGATGTACAACTTAATCAAGATGGAACTTTTCAATTAACGTTGAAGTATTAATAATATATTAAGGATAAAAAAAAATATATATATGTATATATATTACATATCAGTTCTCGTTCGATTTCGTCGATGCATGGTTTCTATTGATTCTCATGATGGCTTTGGAATGCAAAAAAAAAAAAAAAAAAATTCATGCTTATTATTATCCCTTATATTTATTATATATATCAAAAGGGAAAATTGAGGAAAAAATAAAATATTTATTTTTCTTTTTTTCCTCTCCTGTACAAAATACTTTTTTTTCACAATTGTTTTATATATTTTCATTTTTTTCTTTTTTCTTTTTTTCATTTGCATTTTGCATCTTACTTTTTTTTTTTCGCTTTTTCATTAGCTTTTTTTTTAACACCCCCTTTTCTCTTTTCACCTTTGTAACATTTTCCTCCTTTTTTCTTTTTTTTTTTTTTTTCTCTTGGGTTGGGTATATCTATCTATCTATAGGACAGTACGTGATCTTCTGTATATTGGATATTTCGGAACAATTGAAGTTCGATGGCTTAAGTTTTTTAAATAACAAAAATATTTTCTTTTTTTTTTATTGGAATTTCAAAAAGGGTATTTTTTATTGAATGTTTACTTCAAAGTATAATAACTATCATGAAGTATTGTGTATATGTTCAAAAAAAAAAATAATAAATAATTTTTTATATCTTAAAGATCACGCGCAAAACTTTTTTCATTGAACCTTGCTAAAAATAATTGAAAATTATTGAAATGTAAATTTTTTGTAAGTGATTTTTCAATCAACATCACATAACGCGAAGTGTTTGATGGTTTAAACAACATCACGTCTTATGGTCTAGGTTGCACAAACCTAAAATTCACGTCAATCATGTGAAAGATTGGAATCATTTTTTTAGATCTATATCAAAAAAAAAAAATAAACGAAAAAAACAAAAAAAATGATTTCTGCATTACACTGGGTACGTAAAGGTGTAGCGGCGGAAGTACCCGACAAGTATGAACTCGACGATAAGGAATATGATAGAATAAATCAACTAGCAGCATTGCAATTAGAAGCAGCAAAGGAGGACCTTGAAAAGTATTTACTTTTACTTATTATCTTTTTGTTTTGATTGAGAATTGATAGATAATTAATTAAAGCGATTATCACAGAAGTCAAGATATAAAAAAGATTGATAGTAACCTTGACTCCGAATTAGCTGAATATAATTTAGACAATTATGATGATGATGAGGACGATGAGGGTCAACGTAAGTTTTCATTTATAAATAATTGAAAATTTCCTTCCCACTTTAAATATATTATATATTTGTATATAAATATTAGCGGTATCAATATTCGGGAATATGAAAGGATTGGCCTATTACGCGTCGAATGAAGAGGATCCATACATCACTCTCAATGATGAGGTATTTGATAAATTAACCCCTATGCTTTCGTTTGGATTTCCCGAGAATCATCGATTAATATAATATGCGTTTTATGTAAGGAGGACGAAAGCGAAGATTTACGAATTCTCCCGACCGATAATATTTTGATAGCTGCCAAAACTGAAGATGATGTCTCACAATTGGAATTTTATATTTATGAAGAAGCTGATGATAATCTCTACATACATCATGACATGATGTTACCATCCTTTCCGCTATGTTTGGAGTGGTTAGATTTTAGGTTAGGTAGAAAATCTGGAATAGAGGGTAGTGGGAATTATATTGCCGTGGGAACATTTGATCCAGAAATTGAGATTTGGGATCTTGATACGCTCGACTCAATGTATCCCGATGCAATATTGGGTAATCGAGAAGGAATAAAGAAGAAAAAAAAGTCAAAAGTAATAAACTTCTTTTCGCGAAAATTTGATTTTGGTAAAAAAAAAAAAACATTATTATTAAATAAACGGGTCTCTCGGCTTTTAGGTACCTAACGCTGAATTCCATACAGATTCCGTCATGTCTTTATCATGGAATCGTCACCACAGGTAATTAAAATTATTGGTATTTCGGATCATACGGTTATCGCTAAATATCTTTGTTTCCTTCTCTCGTAGGAATCTATTAGCGAGTTCATCTGCCGACACCACCGTGAAGTTATGGGACCTTCAATCTTTAAAATGCGCGCACTCTTTTACTCATCACAAGGATAAGGTAAAAAATATATATACATATATTTATTTATTTTATCTATGATTGACCGACATTCATTTAATTGATATTAGGTTCAACAAGTTGAGTGGCATCCAATAGAGTCGACGATTTTACTCACAGCTTCTTTTGATAAGAGCGTTGCCGCATTCGATAGTCGCGCTCCCACGAGTGTTACATTTTGGAATCTCGGTAATGCAGATCCAGAGTGCATTCGATGGGATCCATTTTCACCACAATACTTTTATGTTAGCACAGAAGCTGGTTTGGTTTTATATTTTGATGTGAGAAATCCTGGTCATGTCGCGCCAGTTTATACTTTACACGCACATGATTCGGCCGTTTCATCCTTTGATGTAAGTCCTTCTATTCAAGGATGTATAGTTACAGGATCAACGGATAAGTTAGTTAAGGTTTGGGACGTTAAAGACATGAAACCGAATATGGTTACGAGTCGGGATTTAGGAGTGGTAATTACGCGTCTCTTTCGGTCTACTTTTTCTTATTTTTTTTTCTTTATTTTTTTTTTTAAAAAAAAAATTTCTATTAATTGATAATTTTTTTTTTTCCTTCTCTCTCCTGTTAAAAGGGTAAAGTTTTCTCCACACAATTTTGTCCCGATTCACCCTTTCAAATTGCTGTGGCTGGTTCTGAAGGAAAAGTGTTTATTTGGGATTTGTCAAGCAATGTTGGGATACGTAATTCATTTAAAGGAAGGAATAACGTTCCATTTTTAAGCGAGTCGACCTCAATAGAGGTGAGTATCATTTACCCATATACCGCGTTTAAAACATTAAAAGTTTGTTAAAAATATCATCTTTTTTTTTAAAAAACCCCCCCCCCCCCCCCCATAGAAACCTCCCATCACATTAGCAAATGATAGCGAACATGAGGACGATGACAATGTAGATGATGATATGGAAGACCTCGAAGACGATAGTGGGGATGACGTATGAATCACAACCATGTACAATATCATGTGACTTTACGGATAAAAAAAACCATGCATGCATTCATGAATATGTACAGTCGATCATTTTATTTGGCATTCAAAGGTATAATAATTGGTATTAATTTGTAATAATAATCGTATTGATATTATCATACAAAAAGTAGTTATTTTTATTAAATGAGTTTGATAAATTTACATCCTTTCCCCAATGTATATAATATATATATATAATGATTTGTTATTATAAAGATATGAACTCGTAAAATATATATAGAGAAAAAATTATGAGGAGATTTAATAATTTATTTATTTAAATCATATAAAAAAAAGAATTGATAAAGGAGAGTAAGTATGTTCAAAGAAATAAAGCAAAAGAAAAAAAAAAAAATGTAACTATTTACATTTAACCTTGAAGGTTATTCTAGCCATCATGAATTTTTTTTTTCCCAATTATAAAGCTCCTTTCAACAAAAAGATATCACAAAATCTCGTTAAACGGGTGACAAGAAATCAAAAACGTTTAGAGAAGTGATATTCAACAGAAGACGTAAATAAAATAAAAACCCTAATATAAAGTATTGAATTGTAAAGAAAAAAAAAATATCCCAACACCGATAAAAAATAAAAATGAAAAAAAGTAGTCATTTTCATTTAACATTATAAATTCGTCTTATTTCATTTGATTTTCTTTTTCACCCATAGAAAGAATAAATAAATAAATATCATTTCTCTCAATGTTTTTTTTTTCATGAAGAATGAAATGAAACGATTTTTTTTTTAGATATTCCCAAACATGACCACAGTCAAATATTCTGCGAGTTGCAATTTTGAAGGAGGTTTGAATTTATTCATGATATATTGTTGTAAGGAAAAGAAACTAAGCTGGTCCTGAATAAGGCTGGTCCACCTAAGATATACAGGCTCAGGTGATAATGATGCAAAAAGTTCACTGCTGCTACTACTTCTAACATCGTTATTATTAGTATTTCCACCCAGGCTGCTGCTATTATGCTTGCTATTATTTGTACTACTGTTCCTACTAGAACTTGAGGTTGTAAATGAAGATAAGGCCGCAATCTCTGCTTTCAATCTTTTAGTATAAGTTTCAAAAGCTATGGCTTCAAATTCTTGATCAGCATAAACCGTTGTAACCATCATTGAATCGATTCCAAGATCATTTTGTCCACGGTAAAATTGTACCCAACCCAAATCCTCTAAATAACATTCAATTGAATCTGCAACTATAATGATCAATAAAATTAAAATGAAGAATTTTTTTTTATTTGTCTCTTTAAAATTTGCTAACAAAGAAAATGTACAAACCCTTTTGAAGAGCTTCCCAGTCGTGCGTGTAATAATAGTTTACAGCCAACATATTATGTAAAAATAGGCTGAATCTTTCTACTATATGCAATACCGTAGCTTGTCTTCTTAAGGCTCTTTTTGGACCGGGTAGTTCATTGGCAAGCCCTGGTGGTTCCTTAGGAGCGTTCTCGGTGATCCAGAGTTTGGCCTTCTCGGTCTCTAAAGGGAAATGCCATTCATTTGCTTTTCTTAGGCGGTCCTCAGGTGGAATATCATGAGTATATTTCTTGAACCATAATTTAGCGTTTACAGTATGTGGCCCTGCTAAGGCACGAAATAATTGATTGGTAGAAGATAAAGAACGAAGATCTTTAGCATCATCAATACAAAAGATTATAAGGAAAAGGATTTCAGTCGGAAGAGAAGTTAACTGCACTGGTATACGGGGTGCCATTTTAGTAGGTTAGTTTATTTATTTGATAGTTTGCTCTCTGAAGGCTACCGTCAGGCAATTATTTGGAAAAGAAAAACAAGTTTTCTGTTTTTTAAAAGGTTTTATCACAATTTTAGATTTTAAAGTAGGTGTTGATATTTAAAGTTTGACTGTCCCACGGAAATGAGAGTAGTGAGTAGGAAGTGCGCGTAAAGGCGACTATGAATGAAGGAAGGAATTGTAAAAAAAACGGGTGTAATAAACTAAAGATGATTGATAAACCTATATATAACGATATACTTTATATAGGATACACGTTTTGTTTGGTCACGTGATTAAAAGCTGGCCAAATATAAATCTTATTTTAATTATATTACATAGTATATTATTCTTATATTTTCCCCTTCTCAGTAATTGAGTCGATGCTGATTGGCGTAAAGCAAATACTGGTACCTTTTTTTAGTTCCCTAGTGACATAAAAATTGTCCCGCTGGAAATTTGAGTCGTTTCGTGATTGGTCGAAAAAGCAAATACCAGTGTGAATTTTTTTTAGTTAAGATTCCGGACTTAACAAGTTATCAAACTAAATGAGGAATTCGTCATAGGGTTAGTCAGAATCCTTAAAGATTTTTGTGATTAAAAAAATTTTGCTACATTTATAGTGCGTTTGAGGATGTTTTAGTTCCAAACTTCTAGAAAAGGATTTACCGGGGGGGGGGGGTGACAAAAATATTGCACGATCGAAAATGAGATATTGAGTAAATTTTTCATTAATAACTGAGCCATATTTTATTAGAATCATGAAATATTTTTATGAATTGTTTAATTTAATATGTTGCAATTCTTAAAATCGAATTTTAAAAAATCTATATTTTTTAACGTTGCGCATTATATTTTCGTTAAAAGGCTAAAATGCTATTATTAAAGCAAAAAAAATTGGGTCCAGCAACTCGGAAATCATAAATTTTATAAGATGTCATTGATTGACCTTATGTGGATACTTGCAGTAATTAGTAAAAACATAAAAAAAGCTAAAAAGCTGATCCTTTATCGAGAACATATAACGTGCGAAGTATTGAAAAGTAGAGATTTTTTCAAAATTAGATTTTACACTATGCATTACTCTAAACCAAACAATGAACAAAATGTTTCATTAGGTAATAGTTAGCTAATATGTTATCAAAAAAATATATCTGTTACTTATTAAAAATTTACAAAATTGTCCAATTCTTGACCGTGCAATACTTTTGTCACCCCCCCTGTAGGTTGACGCTATTTTAATAAAGAAATTTTGATCGGCACATGAATTGATATTAATTTTCTGCATATTCTTTATTGGTATATTTAATTGGATATAAAGACTATTTCTTTATATTTATTATTCGTTTTAGGACAATTCCTTATACTTTATTCCATTAAATTATTAGAAGATTGTAATTATTGTTTCGATTCCGAATTAAAATAAAATCAAACTTTTTTTTTAATTTGAGAATTTGAAAATCTTGAATTTTGATTGGCATATATATATTTATTCGCTTTGAAATTTGCAATGTCGATCTACAACTAATAACCTATATAGAATGTAAAAAAACCTCTTTTATAATCATTTAAGATCTATTCATAATAAACTCCTTTTGAAAAAGATTTGTAATAAATGATTTTAATAAAGTTAATATATATTATATATATTGATAATTTCTTTTGAAATTATTAGTATACTAGAATCCAAAAAATGATATCAACATCCTTCATTAGCTAAAAAGAAATCAAAAGCTAAAGATCTTCCTTATATATTCTTTAAATTAGTTAGTAATTATAATAGATTAGAATAATCGTAGATAAAAAGTCAAAAAGTCAAAAAACATATTAGTAGTAAATAAGTTTTGCTAAATAATTTATACAATATCAAAATTTTTTTTATACCTATTTAAATTTCTATTCAATTTATAAAAAATATGATAACCAAATTATTACTACTAAATACTTTTATTAAAAGCTTTTAAATGAACTTTTATTTACTCATGCAAACAAAAAATTTTGACTACATAATAATTTTATTCTTATATTAAATTCTAATATTTACAAAAGAATAATCTTCAATAATAAACTATATCTATTAATAGTATTGTTAATCCAATAAATAGACCATTAGGATAACAGATCCAATGGATAATGAACAAAAAATTGACAAATAAAAAAATGTATATTATATATAATGTTTAATATTAAAATAAAATTCACAAACATTTTATTACAATTAACTTTAAATTTGAAAAATTAAAATTTATTTTATATTAATTTGATATTTATATTAATAATGATTTTTTGCAAATATCAGCACCTCTAATCTAGGACTAAATAAGTTTTCTAATAACCATTTTGTATTAGGATTTTGATAAAGATAATCTTAAGCAAGTAATTCATTTAAAGATTAATTATTTATTATGATATTAATATCAGTTTGTTTAATATCTTCAGTTTCTTTATCCTCTAATATTTCTATCTACCTGTTAATAATCTTTTATAATATCTTTATTCTCAATTTCATCCTCTTTATTTCTATTATCTAAACCTTTAGAAAAAAAATTTATATTAGTTTGATTTGCTTTTTACAAATAGTTTCTATCAATTTCTTAAAAAAATCTAAAATTTTCATCAATATTAGATATAAAGCTCATTTTTAAAAAAATTATTAGATTTTTCTTCTATTTTTTAAGTTTATCTAATTGATATGCATAATGTAATTCTTCTCTTAATTAACATATTACAAGAACCTTATCATTATTTAATCGATTTTTTCTTGATAAATAAAGAAAATTCATTAAACTAAATAATCATTCAATAGATGTAGTATTAACTGCAATAGCAAAGATACAATATGTAAGTTTTGGTAATTCAAATTAAGAATTGATAATATAAATTTCTAATAATTAAATATGTCTTCTTTAAAATTATTAAAAGTAGCATTATAAAACATATATTTTTTTCTATAATAAATATCAAGTTCATGAAAAATTAATTAGGTATTTCACTAAACTAAAATAGAATAATAATAAATAATCTGACACTTTAGATTAATATAATTAAGATTATTTGTAGATGCAAATTTTTTATAATGATAATTAGGATGAAGTAAAAATGAAAGGAGAAGTAAAGATTGTTTACATATTTTCCATTAACCTTTAAGATAAATAATTATAATTTCACTAAATTTTATATCAATACAAGCCTTAATAATCTTTATAAACTAACTAATACAATATAAT